TATTATTTACATACCTCACAAAACAAAACGTCCAATTTGGATGATTCAATATGTATAAAAATGTTTAGATCATCATAATAAGTTTGGTATCAGTATAGAATTTGAAAAACAAGATAAATCAACATATATTTTTAAAAATTGAGTTTCAAAGGGCTGAAAGTTTTGCATCCTCAAAAATATTATGATGTATGCATGAGACAATTATGAAACATATCTCGGGACAAAGAGATACAAATTTGAACAAAATAAATGAGATTTTATAGTGAATCTATGAGGGTAGGCACACATTAAACGGGTTAAAATGTATATACGGAGTATTAAACTTTTTTGTTGAAGGAGAGAATATAATAATATTGGAATTATATTTAATTTTATCATTTTTTAATATTGTAGTAAATAAATATAGGAAGACTATACTGTAGTATCAGAATTATATTACTCTGTATATTTTATATTTTAAATAATAAATGAGAGCATTATTATTTTTTAATCAATGAGGCTGGGCACTAAAGTCATATTAATACGTTGAAAAGAAGAATAATATTTTTCATAGAATAAAAACAATTTTAATTTTTTTGAAAACAATAAAAACAATTTTATTTCATACATACATGACGCGGGTTAAAATAGTATTGATTTTTTTAATTTATAAGAGTAACAAGAATCAAACATAGAACTATAAGGACTAATACGGAGTATATGTAGAGGTGAATTGCTATTATGCCATCGACGGCGGGGCTGTCTCTCCACGCTTTTTCGATTTAAATTTTCTCAGACACAAAGCTATAAGAACGGTTGTAATAACTGCCATGACAATGACCACACCGACGATCACATAACCTCCCTTCCCGTTAGAGGAATGGCCACTACCGCCGCCGCCAACGACACCGCCGCCTCCGCCGGGAGGAACCATAAGTTCCGGAATCATCGGTGGAGTATATTGCTGACTCGACAACCACGACATTTCTTCTTCTCCTTCAATCCTAATAACCAACTAGTAATTATGTAAAGGATGTTATGCTAAAATTCAATAAACCTTGTGATTTTGTGTCTCAGCTCCATTCTTTATTTATAATGATCCCATCGGGCTTGCATTAATTAATTAAGATCTTGAGTAAAACTATATATGTATGGTAATAAATTTTGAATGGGAATATATAAACCTTCTTAAATTATGGCTTAAAAAATAAAGTTATTCTTCTGTGGTTTTAATGTCCATATGTAAAAAATAGATCTTCTCATATTTTCTATAGCCTCGCAAGTGGAATTTTTTTTATACAGAATGTTTAATTCTTTTATTATATCAATGTACTAAGGTGAATAAAATAAGCATGAATCTTAAAATTACGTAAGAATTATTTGACTCAATCATATTATATTCTCTTACTTCGTTATTAACCTTTTTTGTTCTAACCAAAATAAAAGTTATCACTCTTTTTTTACTGAAAGGAATTTATAAACACTTCACAATACTTTTAAAAGAACAAATTTTAATCAATACGCAGTATTTTTTAATATTTCATTTAAGCTCATGAAAATAATGAAAAAATCTTTGCCCGTGGGAGGGAGAAATCTTACTTAATTCCGGCTTTGAGATCTTCTTCATAAATACTTAAATGTGTGCTCCTTATTTGATTTGAGTTGCTCTATTTATATAAGGGTTTTTCTTTGGTGCCTTTGAAATTGATAGGGCATCATCCCCTCCATTCACTAATTGACATTTGTACTTCTATGCTACATACATATACTCCTACATATGATTAATTAATAAGTTTTAATTTCTTTATTTTTCTAAAATTTCAAAATTTCCTCCACCTCATTCTACACTTTTGTTATCTTAAATTTTCGGTTTGATTACTTTAATAATTATAATATTCTTATTTAATAATTACTCATTATTTTATTTTTCATTTATAATTAGATTATGTTATATACTTTTATTGGATTCTAACTCTTAAACTTCAATATTTTCCAATTCATTTTAGTTTCTCCAACTTTTTCCTATTTCTTTTAAATTCTTCTAAAATCTTTCAATGATGACCTAAAATACAATTACTTTGGAGTACTTTTCATATTATTAATATAATTAATCTTATTATTAGTATCATCATCATCAATGCGAATAAAATAATGAAAAATTAAAGTTATTTCAGAACATATAAAAATATATGTTTTTGTCCCTGAAACAATTTTCAGCTACCATTACAAATTAAACTCAATATAAAATTTTAGAATATTTAATATATTTATCCTTCCATCCCAATTGATTATTGATAAAGAAAGAATTATAGAGATTTAAGCGTATACATAGTGATGGGAACCAAGCCCATCGAGACATTATAAGTGACCTGTGCCTGAGATAGGCACAAAGCCCAAATTAGGATCCGTACATTATAAGAAAGATTCGGCCCAGAAATAATGTAATGGGCTGGTAATAGAATCTGTCCAACTAAAGAGGCAAGGGAAGAAGGAAGGTTGGGGGCCAAGAGATGGGCTGGACCTCAACCCATTAAGACCAGGTCACCTAGAGGAAGAGGACTCCTACGAATAAATTAGGGTTCGCCATCCTTGATAAGGACGGACGTTTATTCCTTGGAAAGGACAGACAGAGAATAATGGCGAGACAGACACGTTTGTCCCCAAGTGAATCGCCTTAAGCTTAGGAAAATATTTCTGGGAAAGAGGAGGATTGCCCGGATAATTTCCCCAACCACCGCGGATATATTGGACCTGGACTGATCAACAGTCCTAGGTAAAATATTAAGCATCCATCACTGGCGCCACCCGTGGAACCGATTGAAGCCTCTTAGCCTTCTGAAAAGTTGTCACACCCTAGTCATTTGGCGAACCTCTCCTTGTCTTTACGGCAGTTAGCGGTCCACCAAAGTCAAAGAGATACACTCGCGGTTAATCCAGGAGGATCGATCACATAAATCGGTCCATCCTGGAGGGTCGTTTTCATAAATCGATCCATCCAAGAGGATCGCTTTCATATATCGTTCCCTCTTTCCATTTAGGAAAAATTTCATTTGTCATTATGGGCCAGAATCGGTCCAAGAGAAACAGAACTGCTGCTAAGGCGCGAGCCAGCTTGGAAGGGAGGGGGGAATCAAATGGGGTTTTCATATTTATTTTTCAAACCACATGGAGCGCTAAAACTATTTTAATATATTCTATTCAAAAATATATGTTGTCATTCGGAGCTTTAAACTATAATTATATAAATACCAAGATTATATTTTTTTTCACTTCTCAATTTTTACTGTAATATTTTTTCTCTATGAAAAATAATGTTCCAATAAAAAAATAAAGGCCCAAAAGGTCCTGCTAATAAAGATGATGAAAATAATGTTTTTAAATTTATATTTCCTTATATAAATATTTTTATTAAAAAGAATGTCTTATCCTTTATAAACATTGCTTATTTCATAAATAAACTATTAAAAACTATTGGTACCATGATGGGGATATATATAATACCTTATAAAAAATTTAAATCTTGATAATTCTTTTTAATATTTCTTGTTATATATTTAAGGAAATTATAATTATTAAAAAAATTATAGAATACATTAAAACATAAAATTTTTCTTATTAAGAATTATCGAATATAATATTAAGAACCATAAAATACTAATTTTGAATGATAAATTTTTCATATTTAATTATGTGACATAAGATGAGCTATATTTTAGATCAATAATTTTCCATACAAAAGGTTAGATTAATAATTTTTAGAAAATTATATTTTACTCAAAAGAGTTTTAAAACCAATGTTGTTTTTATGAAAAAAAGACGCAAACTAATCATGATTTGTTTCTTTTATATGAATAATTCTTTTAACTTTTGTTGAAAAATTATAAATTTTATTTCATTTAAATATTTTTTTCAATAAGTTCAAAAGTCCATAATTTTTTTAATATAAAATATATTGTTTTAAACTTATCAAGTTTTAAAGGTTATGATAGATAATTTTTCATAAATGGTGAATGAGTATTTAAAGTATGTCATGTAATTTATTCATATGTCATGTTATTTAAAATTTGTCATTTAAGATTACACTTGTCAATCTTTTAGACACATGAATCTAAAATATTATAGTAAAAGGATTTCTTCCCACATCAATCTCTTTTTTATATCCCAAAGAACATGTTCTAAATATAAAAATAACTTTGGTCCTCACATTTTGACTTTTAACTGTGAATTTTTATGAGATGGAGTATGTAGTATTTACTTTTATAGTGCTTGTTACTCAGAATTTGAGACTAGTCCGTAATGTTTTTAAATTTTAAAAAAAAATACTCCATCTGTCCTAAAATGAACTTCTTTGTTTGACTTTTACAGTCAAACTTTTTAAACTTTGACTGTATATTACGAAAAATATATATTGCTTTTTCATATATATTTTTTTCAATAGATTAATTTTGCAACATAATTTTGAATTATATTATTTTTATAATATATATTCATATAAAAATGAAAATATTAATGGTCAAAGTGTCGTATTAGAGATCATGAAAAGTCAAATGAGAAGTTAATTTTAGGACGGAGAGAGTATTTACACTAAATAACACTAAAACTTAAGTCATTTTCTAAATAGCACTTAAATTGTTTTATTCCTTAAATAGCAATTAATAATGTCTAAAATGACAAATGGTGACCAGTAATGGCGAACATTTACTTGAATAATGATTAATGGATAATAACTAATATGGCTACATTGGTAAAAAAAATACTAACTCCGTCCCCCTAAGATGTTCTCATTTTGACTTTTGGTGGTTTTTAAGAAGATTTGAAAAAAGGTGAAAATTTACCATAATACCCTTAATGAAAATGGGTGGAATGTATTAAATGAGGTGGGTGATGTGTAATAAATAAAGTAAGTGGAGGTAGTTGTGATATTTTAATTGTTAAAAAATGAAATGAGAAGATCTGGACAAAGAAAAAGGGCTATGGAGAAGATCTATGGGGGACAGAAGGAGTACATGTAATGCTATTTAGAGAAAGTCTATGATTTAATTCTATGTAAGAAAATTCCACTTTTAAAAAATATTGTGTAAAGGTGGATTATAGAATTTGGATGTGAGTTGTACCACATTCATTCACATAAATAATTTTCAGAGACCATCCTAAAAGATATTGCACCATAGATTTGCCAGAGAAGAAAAAACTAACCAACCAGAAGTTAAGAGGTTAAGGAAAAAAACAGAGAAAATGGCTAGAAGCAAAGAAGAACAACAGAGGAAGAGACCATGAAAGCATAGATCAATATCAAGAACCCAAAATGCAATGCCCAATTCCTCTTCAGCTTACCCAAGTAACTCTCCGGCGGTTCCTGGTAAAGAATCTCCGATTCCTCCGCCGCAGTCGCCGTAGCGCCGCCGCTGCTGATTCGGGTCTTCAGCCGCCGCAGCCGGTCGGTGGCCAACCCTAGGGTCAGTTTGTGGCACTTCCTCTGATACTTGAACCCGTTGATGCACCTCAGGGTCTGGGCCACGGACACGTAGAAGATGAGGTGGCCCATCGAGAGAAGCCCAATGGGCACCCAACAGTGGCGGCACTGCAGCCTGGAGGATTGGGCCTGGTCCAGGACAACCAGGGCCAGGAATATGAAGAAGAGCTGGAACATTTTCCACAGCTCCTTCTTCTGCAGATCCACTGCCCGTTTCTTCTCGAGGGTCTTCTCGAAGTGGAGCTGGATGACGGTGCTTAGGGCCTGCACGACCTCCGTCTCGCAGTCCGCCATTAATGGATGATGAGCTTTCCCCACTTTGTTTTTTTCAAAAATATATCGCTTTGAGTTTCTTGTTTGGGCATTTGTAAGTTTGTGGTAGCCTGATACAGCGCAGTGAAAAAGTACAGTTATTGAATGCCTTTCATTGAAAGGCGTGTATGGTGGGTGAGGACTGAGGAGGACAGATTTTTTAAAATGGGTGTGCCACGGTAGGATGACATTCAATTAAGATTTAGCCAATGACGGTTCGGTATTTTAAAAAAAATCGAACCATATTGTTCATATTCAAACGGTTTGATATGGTTTCGGTTTTATGTCTAAACTCATTCTTTACCATGTCTTTCGTTAAGGGGATGGTACCATATCATACTAATACAAATCCATTCCATAATACTTCGACGTTTTGAAAATATTTTTATTTATAATCATGGGAATTTGCCCAACAACTATAGTGACAAAGAAGGAATGATAACGATAATGGAAATTAACTTGGATAGATTTTTTAAAATGGGGGTGCCACAGTAAGGATATACCCACGGTCCATGATGGTTCGATATTTTTAAAGAACTCGAACCATATTGTTCATATTCAAACAGTTTGGGTTTTATGCTTAGACCCATTCGGTACATGTCTTTCGGTAATGGGATGGTACCATGTCATACTAAAACCAAACCATTTCATAATACTTCGACGTTTTGAAAATATTTTTATTTATAACAAACAAACGATGTAATTACAAAAATCTTTTTATGCATTATTAGCTACTAACTCAACATTTGTACTCCTTCCGTCCGGAAATATTCTTCTCATTTTCTTTTTTGGTCCGTCTGGAAATATTCTTCCCATTTCCTTTTTTAGTATACTTTTTAAGGCTAAATATCAATAATACCCTTCTATTTTATCACAAATATACTTTTTTAGTACTTTTTTAATAATAAAAGGAGATTTAAAAGTTTATAGTATGTGCATTTTTGAAAATTTTGCATTTTTTTATTATTCCTTAATAAGCGTGCCAAGTCAACATGGGAAGAACATTTCCGGACGGAGGGAGTATTACTTAGTTACAATTTTTAAAAAACTTAATCATAGTTTGCATTTTCAACAAAATAAATTATAATTTGAGTTGTATTTCAATGTAATAAAGTATTATAAAAACATAAGTTTAAGTTTGTGAAAGTCACACGAAATTAATATCACTGAACTTACTAAAAATTAACAAATGAAAATTTATAATTAATTTTATTAATTTAATATTTTAATGGTAACACTTCGGTTCAATATTTTCGGTATTTATTTTTTGGAAACCCATCCCGTACCATTTTAAAAACAATCTATTTGGGTCGGGATTTAATTTACTAGAACCATTTAAAAACCTATTTTTCGGTTCGTTACAATGTTAGTCCGGTTCGGAACAATGTCACAACGGTATTTTTGTGCACCCCTACATACAATGCTCCGTTCAAGAAATTAAGATGTCAAGATGAGTACAATGACATCATAAAAAGTCACAATCCAAACATTAATTTTGGCTGTTTAACTGGTCGAAAAGTCATACATAGTCAAACAGTTAAATATTGGCTAAAAAGTCATTATCAAACAAGGCCATATATGATACAAAATACAGAGTACTATAATATGATTTCTTATACAGCCGTGCTACATACACCCTACTCATACCCCAATTTATACCACAAATAAAAGACCCCCACCCCACCAACAAACCCAAACCCCCCTCCTCTCTCTCTCTCTCTCGGGTATGTTTTCATTATTTAATACTCATATGCTTGCACTAATCAATCCAGGATCCAAGTTATCGTATATTTGCATCCCTATGCCCGAAAAACCATTCATTCAGAGAGGCAATCTAGAGTATCCCATGGTAGTATCTAACGCGTTAGGGCACAACATGCGACTTCACCACCTGTATCGAAACTGTCCGCTGATGGCTCAAGGACATCAACAGTCCGTGAACCTAATGCAGTTACCATACAAGGAGTTTGACATTATCCTTGGTATGGACTAGCTGACCGAACACCAAGCAATAATTGACTGCGGACTATGTACTATACGATTGAAGATCGACGACAATAATGTCTTGGAGGTCAAAGGGGATATGTTCCCTAAGCCTCCGGAGTTCATGTCATTTATGCAAGCTAAACAACTCATCTGAAAGAAGTGCAAAGCTTTCCTGTTCCACGTTCGTGATACCAGAAAGGAAACCCCCGAGTGGAAAGATATTCCTACCGTGTGATTTCCATGGCATATTTCCCGACAACCTTCCTGCCTTTCCACCGTCGAGGGAAGTGGAGTTCTTGATCGATTTGTTTCCGGGACGGAGCCGATCTCAGCGACACCTTATCGCATGGCACCTGCGAAGATGAAGGAGCTGACGGCTCAGCTAAAAGAATTGTTGGACAAGGGACTCATCAGGCCGAGTGTGTCCCCGTGGGGAGCACTAATCCTCTTGGTCAAGAAGAAAGACGGGTCCATGAGATTGTGCATCAACTATTGGTAACTGAATAAAGCCACAATTAAGAAACTTTATCTGTTACCGTGAATTGATGACTTGTTTGACCAGCTTAGAGGGGCTACAGTGTTCTCGAAGATAGACCTTCAGTCAGGTTACCATCAGATTCCATTGAAGAAGGAAGATATACCAAAGACTTCTTTTCGAACACGCTATGGGCACTACGAATTCACAGTGATGTTGTTTGAACTGACAAATGCCGTAGCGATATCCATGGACTTGATGAACAACATCTTCCGTCTCTAATTGGACCAATTCGTGGTAGTTTTCATCAATGACATCCTGGTGTACTCCAAGACACCAGAGAACATGCTAGACACCTGCAGACTATTCTTTATGTGCTGAGAGAGCACAAGCTCTATGCCAAATTGTCCAATTGGCTTAATGAAGTCATGTTCTTAGGGCACGTGATTTCCAATGAAGGTATAAAGGTGGACCACAATAAAATCTTAGCTATAACAAAGTGCTCACCAGATTGACATATCGCACTGACCATCTGCAGTTGGAAGGGTGATGGTTGCAGCACTGGTGTTTAGAAGGGAGTTTGATTCATGGGAGCCTATAGTGGCAGTTGTCCCGAACCTGGTATCGCAAATGGGAACATACCCGGGAGGAAAGGCATTCCTCCAGCTTGCTGGCACATGGCAATCACCTGGCCAAAACCTTGAATGGCGTGCAGGTTGACCGGGTCTTTCATGAAATGAGTCATGCTTAGTGCGAGACCGAACAGATCGTACTGGGATTGTAAAAGGTGTGGTGTTGGTTAGAGCCGTGACATGACTGAGGCTCAATGGATTCATCGAGGTAGAGAGTGTGGGTTTCAGATGTGACCACCAGCATGGTCGCCCCTTCAGTGGTGGCTTGCACTTGGATGGAAGAAATGGTGTTTTGCTGGCTGGTCGACATGTTTTGTAAGTGGTGTTTCATGGGTGAGAATACAAAAGAACTCAAACTAGTCCCATGGTTGGCGCCAAAAATGATGGTGTAAAATACCACTCGGGCAAACTACTCTAGATCGGGTCTAGGATGGTTTGTTGAGTTTAGAAACTAAATTGGCACAGAAAACAAAAGTTGATCGGGAGGGCTGTAGGTTGAAACACATGTAGTCCAATTGTTATTATGTAGAATAGTACGGGGTAGTATTACACAATATGCTCTAGAGAGATAAAGTTCGTCCCCCTTATACTAAGGGTTACAAGGCTATTTATAGTAGAGCATAGGGGACAAGACAAAGAATGCCTACGTCGTCCTACATTCTTGGACGGTGCGAGGTGACTTCTCTTGTCACGTAGCGCTTGTCCTACTCATTTGTCGGCTTGTGCTGATGGCATGTCTCTTGGCGCGTAGTGCTTGGACAATAATATCTGAATGTTCTCTGCAATCTTTAGTCGCTACAGTCCAACCATGCTTGGATTATTCTTGCTAACACATGCACACCCAAACCGGCCACCCGATACAAGTCCCAAAAACTTGTCTAGGTGGTTTCTTGAAGGAATGTCTGATCACTTGAGGATCTCTATGCAGTGTCATGCTAGTTGACCGGGTGCCCAATAGTCACCCAGGTGGTCTTGGTTGAAACCCACCCGGTAGGGTACAGATCCACCAAACAACCATGCTGCATGGTACTTGGACTTTGTCCGGGTGGTCTTGGCTGAAACCCGCCCGGGCAGGGAACATATCCACCCAAACAATCTGGCTACACATTACCTGGAACTTGACCGGGTGGTCTTGGCTGAAATCCATCCGAACAAGGTACAGATCCACCCAAACAACCCTGCTGCATAGTACCTGAACCTTTCTTGGGTGGTTTTTGCTGGGCCTGACCCGGGTCATGGCTTGTGTGGATTACACCCATCATAAACTATGAGAAAGTTCTCAAAATAGTATTTTCTTATTAAATATTTTCTCAAATTACTACTTTGAGGTTATAATTTTATAATCATGCATCCTAATTATCAAAGCTTTTACTATACATAAATCTACTTGAAAAATCACATCCTAATTAAAAACCTATAAATAATCTTTTAAAATTCGAATCTAATACACATCTTTAATTTAAAAAAAAATCATATTTGGAAGGCACTTCATTAGAAGTGATTATTTTAAGAACTTATTCTAAATTTAGCTGATAAAAAATACTCTTCCCTCAATTAATCATCAAGTGAGAAACAATATTTACAAAGGACTATTTACGGAATAAATCTCAATTATAGAGGATCACGTATGTAATTAAAATCTATTGAAGACTAATCTGAGAAAATACCTTATTAGAGAAGACCATTTTGGGAATCTACTCTAGAATTTTGTTTACAATAGAATCTTTGTAAAGTTTATGATCACTCTCTTGGTGATTATAGTTTCAACCATGCTAAGGGAACACCAAAATGTGTACTTCAAGAAATGCATCGAGATTTTAACGGTTTACACTGACACTAAATTTTAATTAAATTAAAAAATTTACACTTTGTTATTATAAATCACTACACTAGCATCACATTAGCATAAAATATTTGTTTATGCCTTTGAGACATAAAATGAGGTACAAGTTTAGTTTTTGTTCATCTTAAGTTTAACCGTTGTCATGTCTTTTTCCCATTCTTGTATCTGGCCTCCCCAAATTGGCAAATTCTTTCATTACCACGAGCCTCTCAAATCTCACCATTACGGAGTGTCTATCCGCTCACTATCGATTCCATTCTTTCCCATTCATACTAACCTCATTCACCGCAAAACTCGATTCTCCCCCGCATCCGTCAAAGCATTCTCATTTTCAAGTAATTTTAACACGTTTATGTGATTTTTTTATCTGTTTTTGTTCACGGAATTGCCCTAATTATCCGTCTCTGGTGCTTTTTCTTTAGATTTATATGGATAATAAGCCCGTCAACATTTTGAACTCATCTCCCCTCCTCGAAATGTGTTGTGTGAATTTTATTGAGATATTTCATTTTTAATAGAAAAATCATGTTGTTTTGTGAAGTAGCAGATCTGTAATTATTGTTTGATAATAGTTTCTACTTTCTAGCATCTTCCTGCTCGGGGTTTGCTATTCACTTCAGTTTAGTAATATTTCATTGTTCTTGGATTATGTTTGGGTGAGATTCGTTTATACTTGCTGGAGCTCATATTGATGTCAGATCTGATGATTTGGAGGGATAAATGTTTTGTTTTTACATATCTCTCTTTTGGCAGTTAGATTTATTTAAGTAGCCTAGTCAAGCATGAATCATACTGAGAACCTTCTGCTGAAGTGATAGCAAATACCAAGTGCAAACTTTAACTCTTGAATTCGATTTGAGTTTTTAGTTTTCAGTTTCATTTTGTAATTCTTATCCATACTTTTATCTCTGGGATTGCATTTTGGATTTTCGTGGGTGGCAGTCTGGTGGAGTGGTGGGTGAAGTTGATGTTTCAATTGTTTAGAGTTTGTTGAACCTTTCAAGATCTGCACTTGTATGGATATTCTGAGCTTTCAATTTCAGTTAAGATAATAAAGCCGGTAATATTTGGTGATGATACCTACTTTTTGGGGTTATAACTGCTGTGATTGGACCATCACGATTCATGAAGCATGTGGTTCCATTATTATTACTCCCTACATCCCACAAAAGAGTCCTGTTCCATCAATTTGTTTGGCACACTTTTTTGCTTATAAGGACATAAAATATGATGAAAATAAGTCTCTCTTGTTTAAATTAGACTCTTTTCATGGGGACAAAAACAAGTTGAGAAACATGATTCTTTTTATGGGGTGAAGGGGCATATATTAGGCCATTAATTTAAAGCGTGTGTATCATGTTCTGAAGGTTGGGCAATGCTGGGTCAAGAGTTTTAAGTTCAATCTTCCATGCCAAGGGTGTTCATTTTTTTAGCATACAAATAAAGTTTGCATCTTTGCTATGCAGTCCTTTGAACCACTAAAGATGGAAGTAACAGCAGGATAAAACCGTTGTCCTATGGCCTTGGCAGGTGATTCATTTGCTTCCATTATTTTTTACTGATCTATGAAGTCCAAAAACTTATACTCATATTTATCTTAAGAGATGAATTTAAAACTCCTTTTCTTGTGCATAGTTATTCGGGCAATTCTTGGGGGTGAAAGAAATTCAAGGGACGTGGAGAGTAGTAGCACCATAGGTAAAAGAAGCCAGCAGAACATTCGCGTGATCAGAAAAAGTGGCATGGAATTTGAATCTTGTTGGACAAAGCATCAAAAGTTGTCAGCCTTCACAGCTCAAGCTATTCATTTTGCAACAGCTTTTATGCATTGGTCTTCTAGAATTTCCTTAAGTGAAGGATATCATGAGTTTCTCTAGTCAAAAGCTTGTCGATATTAAGTTACATATTGAGTTCAATCTTTCATTGTGATTTCAAAAAATAAATAAATAACAAAAAGAAAAATGCCTGGTGCTAATTGTGGGAAAATGAGAGTCACAGAATCTAAGGTGCGTTTTTTAGAAAAAAGTTCTTGTATTACTTCTTTCTTTGCTAATGGTTCCTACTCTCCCATCTTGCCTGGTTTGCCTGATGATGTGGCAAAATGCATCCTTGCTCTTGTTCCCCGATCTTATTTCCCTGCTATGAGTGGCGTCAACAAGAAGTGGAGATCGTTTATCAGAAGCAAAGAGTTCATCCTGGTACGCAAGCTAGCCGGGTTGCTTCAGGAGTGGCTTTATGTTTTAACCGCGGATGCTGATGGAAAGGAAAGTTACTGGGAGGTATTGGATTGTTTGGGGAATAAACACCGTCAGCTCCCACAGATGCCAGTTCCTATCAAAGCTGGGTTTGGTGTGGCTGTTCTCAATGGAAACTTGCTTGTCATAGGTGGATATTCCATGGTTGATGGACCTGGTTCTGCTTCACCAGATGTCTTTCAGTATGGTTCATGCTTGAATAGGTTAGTTTTACTTCATTTATTATTTATCCGTCTTACTCCCTGCATCCCAAATTATAGTGCATGCTTACAAGTTACAACTCACAGGGTCAAACTCTATTCACTTTCTTTAACTATTTTTGCTACTTATTTGATAAAATACTACGTAACATAGTCATGCCACCTCTTGTTTCGAAGAAATTTTGATGTAGTTTTTAAATATGTAATTTTAATTTTTTAATTCCACCCCAATCTTCTAATAAATTAAATTAAAAATAACTTCAGTCAAACGTCATAAACCGAAATAGATATTAGCAATTGGGACGGAGGGAGTAGTTGTTATGGAGTGACTCCCAATGGTTCCTTTCCATCAGTTTCTCTCATCCTCTTTGCTTGGAGATGTGAGTCAATGGTATTATTGTTTGAATCGAATATCTTATGATTCTGTTTAATGCTAATTGTGTATTGGACAGTTGGAGCAAGTTAGCTAGCATGAATGTGGCACGCTACGACTTTGCTTGTGCTGAGGTGAATGGGATGGTGTACGCAGTTGGAGGGTACGGCACGGACGGGGAATCTCTCTCTTGCGCCGAGATGTACGACCCCGACACCAACAAATGGACAGTGATCGAGTCTCTCCGTCGCCCAAGGTGGGGCTGTTTCGCCTACGGATTTGATGGAAAGCTGTACGTAATGGGAGGCCGTTCGAGTTTCACCATAGGAAACTCGAGGTTTGTTGATGTGTACAACCCGGAGAGGCACGCGTGGTGTGAGATGAAGAACGGCTGTGTCATGGCCACCACTCATGCGGTGCTAGGGAAGAAGCTGTTTTGCATAGAGTGGAAGAACCAGCGCAAGCTAGCCATATTCAACCCGGAGGACAACTCGTGGAAGATGGTCACAGTTCCCGTGACCGGGAGTTCGACCGTCGGGTTTAGGTTTGGGGTATTGGATGAGAAGTTGTTGCTGTTTTCGGGTACACGGGAGGATTCGGGTTATGATGCCACACTGTTGTATGACCCCAATGCAGCGCCGGGCTCGGAGTGGAAAACCTGCGAAATAAAGCCGTCTGGTACGTGCCTGTGTAGTGTCACCATTAAGGCTTAGAACTTTTTAAGTCTAATTTGTTTTTCTTTTTTTTGGGGGCTCATGTTTAGCCCTTGTTGTGGACGCACTAAGTTTGCGTTGTTTCTTGCGTTCCTGTTTTACCATTATCTCATTTGGACAACAAAGGGATTTCATTAAATTTGCTTTTCATTTGTATATGGTTTGAGATTGGTTTTTGAAGAAAGATTAACAGCACGGTATGGGGAAGTACTCGGAATGGTGAGGGAGGGAATACCATTATTGATTTGGTGAGAGTTGGTGACACCGACAAAACTTTTAGGTGAAAATTGTTTTGGTGTATACCACGGTGTAATCTATGGTGTGCATAGGACATGGAAAACTATATTGAAATGACTGATTTAGGCTTGCGAAATTGTCAAACATCTACTCCTCTCCAAAGAAGTTCTCTCTTTGATTTTATGAAGTTCAAAAGTTAAATTTTTTAAAAAACATATCGTTGAAATTTAATTAGTAAAAGAGAATGTTGTGGGCTGCGTGTTTCTTTTCTTTAAACAAAAAATGTAAAATTGGAAAGTTTTGTTTTGGGGATAACTAATTCAGAAAATTGTTAAAGAATGATTTGGTGAGTTTCGGAGATATTATAAAATATAATTTTTAAAATCTGAGAGTAATTAATGATATGAGTTTTGAAATTTGAAATCAAAGTGTTTGGAGAAAACATAAATGAAATCAAATCACATCCACAACTATTTGGTGAGCAATTAAAAAAACAAGTACCAAATATAACTATTGAATACTGTATTATTTTAATACAGATATATTGTATTGGTTAAAAATGAAGAATAAGGTTTTATTTGTATATTTTTTAATGAAATTTTAATGTTTTCTTGATCATGCATTATTAATTTTTGTGAGCATAATTATATATATTTATGTAAAAAAATCTTGATCATTTAAAAAGTTAATGAATAAAATTTGTTTAAGAGAGAAATATTTAAATTTCCTTTTTTAAAAGACAAAAAATAGTAAACCAAAAACAAAACAAAAATGCATCAAAAGAATAAAATCATGCCAGCTAATGAAATGGGAGATGCCTTTTTAACAAATTCGAAATCGGCTAAGACATGCCGATTTGAAGATGCGGCACTTTTGGAGATATGGAGCATATCTGGACATATCAATTGGGTTCCTTTTTATCTTCACCAAACATAATTTTTGGAAATTTGATATCTCAAATATCAAATCCCATAAAATCTGTTTTTGTCACCATTCTTTGTGCAATGAGAGAGTACAAGCATAAAACATGTGTATGCAACTAAAATTCATATATTTAATTCTTTTTTATACTTTTCATAATACAGGCAAGAGAATTAACATCTTATTTTAACTTCAACTATTTTAAAACAAATTATGATGGAAAATAATACTCCGTATAACATTAAATAAAAGTTTACTTTCAAAGTCAATGTAACATTAAATATCTATTGATAGTGATGGGTATATCCCTATACCCGGTCCGGACAACCGAAAGGGACATGTCAAAATATGACCGGTCACTTTCATCAATCACCAAATGAGGTTAACTCTTTGATTGAGACGGGTCAAAAGTTGACTGGTCACTTTCCTTAAAAAAGTGACCGGTCACATTTTGGGCGATAGCCAATTCGTCACTTAATGTTACGAAGGACATTCTAGAAGACCAAAGAGGCGGGTTGAGTGCATGAAATGACCGGGTAACCTTTCAGGAAAGGTGACCGGTCATATCACTTTACTTGGCTAACATTGGTCCAGTCTCTTAGGCATGGTGAACCACGTCAGAGGTCAAGAGGACACCCCGCCGCTCATCCATCACGAGGCACACAGTGAAAGGGATGTTTGTCATTTTGCAGGGTTGATTGGATTGAGAATATCCATTTTAATCTTTGATTGAACAGTGCTTTTTGGTTGTATTAGTAACAAGTCCATGATTGTACAGTGCTTCCATTATCTACAGTGACCTTCCCACGAGCTTCCTATTTTGTCCATGGATGAACAGGGGAAGGTCACAAATCCTCCTCTATAAATATGATGATATTTGATAGAGGAGGGGATTCATTCTTTCTCTCACTAAAAACTAGTACACTCTTGAGACAGAGTAAGAAATATATTTTGGACTGAGGAGATTTACCCGGTCTAGGTTATACTTTGTGTTCTTGTTGTGTGTTTTATATTATGGGTTGAGTGTCCAGGTCAAACCCGGTCAACCCACCCATCTATATTTACACCATCAGATAGTACATATCGGAAGAGGAAATTTTTAGAGAGAAATATTCAAAAGTTTCTTTTGAATTGCAAGTGCCCTGTGTTCCATCGAGAACCAGGGTATAAATAATGTACACTTGGCAATGGACTCTTTTATTAGAACATGAGGTGTGCTAGGAGTATATCAAGTTTAAATACACATAGATATTGTCTATGTGATGCACAGACAATTGTTATCTGATCTGTATGTGTAATTGCGATATACTCCCTCCGTCCTCCAGTTTTTGTCCACTTTTATTTTTGCACACCATCCAATGCATTTCTTTAATCCATTTTATCTTGTAATTTGTATATTAAAAAATTATAGAAATTATATATTAATAATCTATATGTTAAGACAAATCAAACAAGATCACACATGACTATATTTAGGTTTACACATTGAGAGAATTTGATGAGTCAAAGTGCTTAGATGAACAATTCCAAAAGTCAAAAGTGGACAAAAACTGGAGGACTGAGGGAGTACTTGCTATGCAAATAACGAATTGGTGTAGCCGTGTACTGACTATCCATGTTGTCAAGTATGATGGTTCCACGAATAGTGATTGAGCCCATGACATAGGAGCAAGAAAAAGTACTTGCCAACTTGTTTTGGTGTCAGCACAAATACAATATTATGGTCACTTAAGTATTTTTAGCTCAAATTAATAGGAGTATATTTGTGGGATGGAAGAAGTATTTACTTATATATAAATCATAGAATTATACTCCCTAACTTTTATAAATTGAATTATAAAATTTTGTCCAGTTCTTTTGTCTTTCTTAAATTAAATACATAGTGTGTGATTTATTTTTTTTAACACTAATAATTCTATTATAATGTAGTATTAATTTGATTTGTGAAATTTGCACTAAATAAGACTAAAACATAATAACTTTTCTAATGTAGGACTTAAACTTTTTTATTCCTTAAATAGGACTTAATAATGACCTAGTGGGAGGAATAATGTCCAGTAATGATGGACATTTACTTGAATAATGACTACTTGATAATGACCAAAGGTCCTACATTGGGAAATAAAAAGATATGGTCCTATATTGGGAAAGTCATATTGTTTTAGTCTTATTTAGGCAAATTTCCCATTTGATTTTTGAATTAATGACACTATTTGAAAAAGCCACTTTAATTATGCCACTAAACCACATCATGTTTGGCTAGTGGGAAGTTATATGGTTAGACATCATAGTTGTTTAGAGCATTGGCAGGGGCGAGTAAAAAAATTGCCTCGCCCTGCTACGAGAGGAGAGCCGCTTCTGTCAGCAGCGTGGGAAGAGAGAGGAGGAGTCTGCCATGCGTGTCTGCTTTGCGAGGCACCCTGCTTTGCGAGGCATCTGCGAGGCAAATCCAAAGCCCTCCGCCACCGTTAGATCTACAACCCCATATCTGCCCCTCCGCCATCCGCGATCTCCAATTTTACCGTGCCACGCTTGACTTGCCATTGCAAAACCATGGAATATCACACTCTTTGCACGCTTGATTTGATTGGTTGGAAGGTAACACGTCATCCCATGGCATTCCATTACAATACTCGCCATTGACAATGCTCTTATCACTTTAGCCATAAACGATTCATGCCAACCTCACCCTAATGGAAGTAGAAGTCAAGATTCGGTTACCGGACTCCGCTTCTCACCAGCGTCTCTCGGCCATTCTCTCGCCCTACCATCTCAAAACCCATGCCCAGGAAAACTTCTTCTTCGACGGCGCCAGAGCTGAGCTCTCCTCCAACCTCGCCGTGCTTCGGATCCGCTTCTACGACCTCGACTCCAAATGCCTCATCTCCCTCAAGGCCAAACCCTCTCTCTCCGACGGAATCAGCCGCGTGGAGGAGGACGAGGAGCAACTCGACACCACCATCGCTCGCGCCTGCACCGCCGAGCCATGGCGGCTGCTATTACTAGACGACTGCAGGATCATACAGAGAGTGAAATCGGAGTATGCGATCGGGGAAGAGGGCTTCGTCCTCTTGGGCGGATTCCGGAATCTGAGAGGCGTGTATGAATGGAGGGGATTCAAATTGGAGCTTGACGAGACGCATTTCGAATTCGGGAGATGTTTTGAGATTGAATGCGAGAGTTCGGAGCCGGAAATGGCGAAGAATCTGATTGAAGAGCTGTTGATCAGCAATGGAATTCCCTACACTTACTCCAAAGTTTCAAAATTTGCAATTTTCCGGTCCGGAAAACTGCCTCTCGGTTGAAAATTAGGTCTTCTATCAGTATGAATCAGTTCTGATCTGGTTTGCCCTTCCACCGCCTTTGTTCTCGTTCTCAGGTCAATCATTATTCTGCATTTTTTTTCAATCTCTTCTATTTTTTGTTGTTTCTCTGGCATGAAGGTTATAGATCACACTTCGGATTATAATTACATAAACCATTACATAACTCTCTCATTGAGAATTTATGCACTCTTGGGGATCAACCACTTGCAATTAAAGGTGAACTAAAGAAAAGGACAATTGTGGACAAAAATTCACATTAGTACGATATTTTCGCTTTGGATCAAGCTCTCATAAATTTGTTTTTGGGTATCTCCCAAAAGGCCTTGTACTAATGAAATTGGGTGATCACTTATATTTGAGTTAAACTCTTCTTCCCCATCCAGAGTGGGAATTGTGTTTCTTTCCGAACAAAGTTAACCCATTGACACCCTGATCATGTGTTCAATTTGAATTCATCAGCTCAAACTTCTTAGTCATGTGAAATGAAGAAGTTGGGATGGCCTTGTAGGGAATAATGATTTGCTCAAAGCGCAATTCTTAAATGCCAGTGTTTGCTATTCTAATGCGTACTCAGCCTATTCACAACGAACTCTATGGAAGGGCACTCACCTCTGCAATTTTTTACAGTTGTGTTGATCAGTGATCACAGTAAGGATGTCTTGTCGGCTGTACGCCCAGGGGTGCATTCTTTCTGTGTTAGCCATGGAATGACACAATGGTTTGGGTGGCAAAACTTTAGGTTCTGTCAGCTGTACGCCCGTTTATCATTATTCTGAAATATGATCCGTACTTCGTAGTATTCATTGTAATGAAACCGCATTAGCTTAAACATGGACGCCTTATGAAGAGGTGCAAGAAGTTAGCGTGGGGACTTTGAGGTAGGAAAGACACCAGTTAACCGGAGAAGAGTTAGTTTAGTTAAGTTTGTTAGAGAAATTAAATCCGGTGGGCCAATAACCGGAGAAGTGTCAAATAAAATTAAATACTTGTATGTAAAGTTGGGATCTGCTTTCTAACTCAAAAAGTTAAGTCAATGGGTAGCGCTTCACTATTCTATAGATACCATTGGTACTTCATTACTTTTTCTAGTAACTCCCAACAGGCAACAGCTTTACTCCTTACTCCCTTTTCTTATTCTATGATTGTTTTACCCGTGTTGTTCATATTTTAAAATTTGTGTTTCAACTTACGGAGTATTTTTATTTTTCTTGAGACATCTCTCGTGAATGGTTTCTTTGGTTTTTTAGGTAGGACAGTGTATGCAAATACACTCTCTCCAAACTCTACTTGGGAAACCTTAAGGGTCCGTTTGGTTGCAAGCAGTAGCATTTCGAGGGATTGGGATGGGGTCAGATTTTCTCATGATTTATGGTCAAGATTAGGGGAAAAAACAAATTAAGACAAAAAATTTGGCATAAAAAAGTAAATGTTACTTGGTACATACTCATGTAAAAGTATATTAGGTCGTAATTTCTTTTCAATATTTTAGATATATTATAATTTCATTAAAAAAGTGTACATCCATGATCATAAAATTCACATGGGAATTATGTACCTTTTCACATTTTTCATAGACCAACATAAGAATCTTTTATTTTTTCAAAAAACTCATTTCATTAATTGTATTTATATAATACGATTCATAAAATGAGTGTGAAACTAAGTACCAGGGACCGAAAAAACCGACCGAACCGGACCGATCGGTCCAGACCGAAACCGGACCGATTGTATTTCGGGTCGGTCTTCAGTCCACCAATTTTACGATTTCGGGTTTCGGTCCGGTCCGGTCCAAACCCGAATATTGTTCGGTCCAGACCTAAAAGACCGAGACCATTAATTTTACGGAGTAATTCTATCCGCCTATCCCTTTGTCAGAATCGTCACTCGGTTCCTATTCTTCCACTATCCCAAAATTTCTCCACCTCTCCCTAACTCCAAATCTCCAATTCCAAATCTCCATTCTCCAATTCCCTTCCCATTATCGGCAATAAGAGGCGCAAATCGCTGACCGTCGTTCGCAAACCGCAGAGGCGCTGGCCGAGTGACCGTCCGAGCTGCAATCGCCGGTGACTCCAGCCTCCAGGCCTCAAGGTGCTTCGCCAATCGCTAATTGCCTGACGCCGCCGGTCTATCAAGTATCAAGAACAACGAAGATTTAAGATTTTGGGTGATTATCTTTTTACCTTTCTCTTGATTTAATTTCTATCTTTCAAGTTTCATAATTGATTTCACATCTTTATTAAGTTTATATTTTTATCCATATTTAAATTATTAATTAACTTCACCTTCTATAATTATTATTAATTTTTTTATTTATTATTATTTTTTTGAGATTCTTCAATTCAAATGAGAATACAAGAAAAAACACCATTTTGAAATCTGGGATCACAAAAAATTCAGAAAGAATGTTTTTTTTTAATTTTATTATCTTGAAGTTTCATTGCTAGTTGTATTTTTGTGTAAAGTTTCAAATATTTGGGAAATCTTTTTTCAATTCATTATTGAAATTAATAATACGAGTATTAGATTTTGAAAAAAAGAGTAGAAGTTTATGCATTCCTTCTCTTAAAACTTTCTTTTCTATTAAAACTTGGGATGTTCTTTATCTATCCACATTAAAATCAAATGGAGTACTGGACAGTTATTCAACTTTTGGAAGTAGTTTTGATTGACAGAATTGTTGGAAGTTACATTTTTATTTTAAGTTTCTGACTTGCTCTATATTTTTTGGGGCTTTTATTTGTTTGTGTGCAGTTTATATAGAATGAAACGAAGGGCAGATCTTATGGAAACTGAACAAAGTCCTTCACCTAATGTGGTTTGTCAACAGACGGAGGAAAAAAGAGACGATAGTCTTCTGACAACCGCTTCATCACACATACCACACCCAACGAAACAGCCAAGGCCAGGACGTCGTTACATTGCAAAGGGAAGCAAACGAAGGGCCCCTTATTTGGTAAACTATGAATTCTTTCTATGAATTTTATATATACAAAATTTATTTGTTTTTCAGATTTGAAGGATGTGAGTATAGAAGATGACTTGATCTTCGTGATGGAATAAATAGCTCAGTTTTTCTTCCACCTCCAGGACTTCCCCCCTGTTCTTTTCCTTTTCTGCCTGGGTGTCTTTTTTTGGACTTATTGCTCTTTGCTTATTCCACCTCCAGTCCTCCAGCAGTTTTTCCAATTGGACTATTGCTCTTTGTTTATTTTTACTTTTTAAAGAGCTGTATTCCTTTGTTTTTGCTTGAAAAGATGTTACTATTTTTAGTTTTTTAATTTAATGTCATGCTTATTGTATTAAGAAATGCATTGGTTGCATGGTGTATGTTCTTGGACTAATGGACTCTAAATTATGAAGTCATATAGAGTACTTTTTTCACTAGAATTGAAATTTGAATTTTTTTATCTTGGATTCGGTCTATTCGGTTCATACCGGTTCGGTCCAATTTATTTCGGTCCGGTCCGGTCAAAAACCGACAACATTTAGGTCCGGTCTTCGGTCTTGATTTTGGCATATTTCGGTCTTCGGTTCGGTCCGGTCCGGTGTGGTCCGGTCCGGTTTTAGGCCGATGAACACCCCTAAGTACCCCACAAAAAAATGTCTTTCAATAATACTGAAGTCTTATAGTCTATACTCCATAAATTGAGTGATAATCAAACTTGACATTATATTTTGATGACATATTATAAAATAACGTACTTATAATTCTTCAAAAAAAAAATTAATGATTCCCAAGCAAACAAACTTTACATCTCCGCAAATTGTACCTTTTAAATTTTAATGACTTTGGAGTCAACCTTTTTATCCCAAATTCGACAAAATTGGGAAGGTATGATTTGCGTAGATTCCGGGTGCATTAAAGGTTAAACACAATTCTTTTATTGAAACAACATACGGAGTAGATGCCCAATTAAACACAATGGAACTCATTATCAAAAGATTTTTTCTTATTAAGATAAAATCAATCAAAATTTAAAACAATTTCATACCAAGCAATTAAAAAAATTCACACCTTCCCTCAATAACTTCATGTTCACTCTATAATAACATACTTCCTTTGTCCCAAAATAGGGCAAGATTCCCAAAATAGGGCAATTGAAGGGTGTGTTCGGGTCGGGGCGAGGTGGGGGGTTTTACCGGGGGATTAGGGGGGTAGGAATCGTTAATTTTACGGACGGGGCACCGGAGCACCCTCGGGTCATCCCATGACATTGATTCCCAATGTCATGAGAACCTTGAGGTTCACAGTGTGATTTGACATAAAATTTAAGAAAAATGAAAATATGTAGTTGACAGTGATGCGAAAAAAAGAAAATTTGTGAGTCACTCAAACTTTTCTATAAATGAAAAGATGAAGCTTTTTTTTGACCTCCCAAAAAAGAAATAAAAAATCTTTTTTTGAGATAGGGGTATTTTTATTACTTTACATCATACTACACTACTACAAAAATGACCAAATAATCACCACATTTGCATCGGTCCGCGAAACAAACGATTTAAATGAAAAAAAAATTTGCGTATCGGTAATTATTTGAATCGGTTAAACGTAATAACCGATTCAAATGGTTATTTGAATCGGTTATTACATTTAGCCGATTCAAATGATATTTAGCATTTGCATCGGTTAAACGTAATAACCGATTCAAAAAACCTTGTTTTAACGCTGGTCCATAGCCTCCAATTCATTATCCTTACCCGATTTTGAAAAAACAACCCTCCGTTGTCGTCTCATTCGGTCTGTGCTCCGTCTCCGTCGCCGTGTCATTCTCATTTGTCCCCGTCCTCCATTTCGCCATCGCCACTCTTCCCACTCCTCGTCGTCCTCCACTGCAGCTGTCGCTCTGTCCTTCCCGTTGCCAACTGCCACTGTCGCCCTCTCCCGCCGTCGTTCTCTCCTCTCCGTCGCCCTCTCCCACCGTTGCCCTCGCCGTGCCTCGCCTTCTCTAAAGTTTTTTTTTTTAATTTTTTAAACTTTAAATATTTAATTATACTATTATTTTTTATATATTTTTGCATTAGTTTAATATTTAATTTACAATATATTTGAATTACTTTTGTGTTTATGTTTAAGTTGAAATGTGACATTGTGATATAGATTGCGTTTGAAATATAGATTGTTTAATTACTTTTTGTTTGATTCTACATGATCTGAGATGTTATAATATAGAAATATCATATATTGACCGACCTAGATACCCGTTTAAAATTTACTCATTAGGAGTAAATTTTAAATAGCTCCCAGTTTGGAGCTGTTCTTGAAATGCTTCTCTCACTTAGGTAGTGAGTGTATTTCTTTCTCTTTGTTTTGTCATTTTTTGGTTTGACGTTTCCTAAATGTGTTCTTCGAGTGCATATGTAATTACGTTACATCGTGCACTTGGAGAACCATTGGGAAATACTGCGAAAATTTTGATAGGTCAAAGAAAATGAAATACATTTACTAATAAGGATGGCATTTCAAGAATGAGTTAGGATGGTGTAAAGAAGGACCATTTGTTTAATGAAGAAGTGCTGCCGGACCATCATAAGAAATAAAGTATTGTGTTTCCTGCATTTCTTATATGTTTGTATGTATATATAAAATGAGTACGTGTTAATAATTTTGTTGTGCATTGTTTAGCATGTATCAATCATTTGCTCATCTTTCTTGCTTAGCAATTCATATGATGGATAGAAGTTGGATTCATATGTCGCGTACATCACTTGAGTTTAGTTCTGGTTTGGAAGAGTTTATTTGTTTCATAGAGAAACATTCAAAAGAAGGAAAAAAGCTATATTGTCCTTGTAACTCATGTCACAACCATTTTATGGTTGATAGCGTTAAAGATATAAGATTACATGTGTATCGAAAGGGTTTTGACACAACATACCTGCGATGGAAATGGCCTGGAGAGTTAGAAAATCCTTGCAACTCTAGCTATACTCATAATGAACAAGTCGAGGATGATAGCCAAGACATCCACAATCTTACTTGAGGTTGAAATGGAAGATGAGTTAGGGGCCACTCAAGATGTTCCTCCTGATCAAGTCTTCATTGATGAAGAGCGTAATATGTATGAGAGCTTAGTAGGAAGCTCAAAACGCCCATTGTATCCTGGTTGTACAAAGTTTACACGTTTGAAAGGGGTTTTGGAATTGTTCAATTTAAAAGTAGCAAATGGATGGAGTGACAAAAGTTTCACGTCTTTATTAAGTTTGTTGGGTGAACTTCTTTCAGATGGACACGAATTGCCATTGTCCACTTATGAGGCGAAGAAAATGATGTCTCCAATGGGTGAGGGCTACAAGAAGATACATGCTTGTGTTAATGATTGCATTTTATATCGAAATGAGTTTGAGGATCTCAACGAATGTCCCAAGTGTTTTGCTCCAAGATACAAGGAGTCAACCTAAATGACTCATAACAAGGACTATATGAAAAAAACCACAAAGTCTCCGGTTAAGGTTTTGTGGTACCTTCCAATAATACCAAGGTTCAAGCGTTTGTTTGCTTCGATAAAAGACGCTAAGAATCTAGTGTGGCACACAGAGTAGCGAAAAGATAATGGCATCCTGCGTCATCCTGCCGATGCCCCACAGTGGAAGACGATTGACTACACATTTCCAGAGTTGTGCATGAAGCGCAAGTACATCATGCTATCGTTGTTAATACCTGGGCCTAAACAACCGGGTAATGACATTGATGTATTCTTAGCTCCAATGATTGATGACTTGAATAAAATGTGGATTCATGGCGTCACAGTATTTGATGCTTATCGTCAAGAGTGTTTCACGTTACGTGCTATGATTCTTTGGACAATCAATGACTATTCAGCATACGGTAACCTATCTGGTTATAAGATTAAGGGAAAATATGCATGTTCGATATGTGAGGAGAATACTTCTAGTGTGTGGCTAAAGAATGAAAAAAAAAACAGTCTTCCTAGGTCATCGCCAATTTTTAAGACGTCAACATCCTTAAAGTCGCATGAGAAAAGCTTTCAATGGTCAAGCAGAAAATGAGGTTGCTCCGAAAGTATTGAGTGGCAAAGCATTGCATGAGAAGTTGAAGAACATAAACCATACATTTGGTAAGACATAGAAAGTTGATCCAAACGGTCCTATTTGGAAGAAAAAATCAATATTTTGGGAACTACCTTATTGGGAGTGCTTATCTGTACGACATTGTCTTGATGTGATGCATATAAAAAAATGTATGTGATAGTCTTATTGGCACCCTCCTACATGTTTCTGACAAGACCAAAGATGGTGTTAATGCCAGAAAAGACTTAATAGACATGGCCATTCGAACTGAGCTTGGACCGCAAGAAAAAGGACATCGCACATTTCTCCCTCCTGCTTGCTACACACTTTCTAGAGAAGAAAAATTCACTCTTTGTCAATGTCTACGTGATATAAAGGTTCCACAATGGTATGCTGGAAACATTAAGAGTCGTGTGTCGAAGAAGGATTTGAAATTGAACGGTCTTAAATCTCACGATTGTCATGTTTTAATTCAGCATTTCTTGCGAGTGGCAATTAGATCAATATTGTTGACCCTTGTGTTTTGATAAAGACAACTATCTCATGGGCTTGGCACTTTGGATGTTGATCTTCACAATCATGCGTTGGATCTCAAGACGAGTGTGAAGATATAGTGTTTTTATTTTTCGTTTAGATCTTAGCATTTTTGTTAAAGTGTATGGCACGTTAGTTGTTTTTTCCCTCCTTGAAAAAAGTTTTCCAAAATCACTTCAAATTGTTTTTGAGTCAGTTACAAAATCACATTTTCAAAACTGTGAGAACTATTCGAATAACTCTTGTTTTACTCGAATAAGTCAGAGTTTTTAGTTCTATCTTATTCGGATAATTAGCAAATTATTCGAATAAGTCCTGAAGCTCATTTCTTCAATCCTACAGTGACTTAGTCGAATAAGTCTTCACTTAGTCGAATAAGTCTGTGTTTTTCGCTCTGAACTATTCGGATAAATATGAGTTTATTCGAATAAGTCGTCAGTTTGAACTGCAGATTTGTCAGTTTTTAAGGAAGTTATCCATCCTTATCTTCCAAAAAATACATAAAACGGCTCTTTTGCTTGAAGAACATTATATATATTCATTCAAACATATTCTTTACATTATCCAAGCATTTTCAATTCATACTTTTGATCCTTCAACAATACTTCCAAGCAATTCTTCAAGAAATCAATATTTGCTTGAGTTTTGGAGAGTACTAGTGTGCCATACTCTATAAGATCTTGTGTTGCTCCTCTTCTTCTTTGTGCTCTTATGGTTGATATAATCCTGCAAATTCTTGTTTAATCTTCCAAGAGTTTTGATTTTTGAAAAACACCTCTATTCACCCCCTCTA